TCCATAAGCGCCTTGCCATGCACTTGGATAGTTTTTCCACGTCCAATGCATACAATCAATGCTCCCAATCATCCTAAGAAAACCTCGTGATAGGAGCATATTTATACGACTTAGTTAGCTTGTTTTCGTGTATTTTCATAGTTAGTTTGTGTTTATTATAGTGTTTTAAGCTATTTTCGTGTGTTTGTAGGTCCATATGACAAAGTTAGCAAGAAAGTGCAATTTGGAGCATTTTGAGGCAGTTTTGGGCACCAAATGGATAGCTTATGAATGGAGCAAGATGGATGGATGAATTTGAAGTTCAAGAGGCTAGGAATATCCTGAAAAGAGTGAAGAAGTAAATCCAAGATAAAGAAGATAAGGAATCAGCTATAAGGAAGAACATTATCCAAAACCTTATCCAACCTTATCTTATCTAAACTAACCTTATCTTATCTTATCATATCCCAATCTTATCATGCCTTAAATCCAGCTGCAAGGGGGACTCCTTATCACATTAGAATGCCTAATATCTTATTCTAGAAGCCCTGAAATATTGCAAATAACCTGATCCTTCTTCCCCCTAGAAATCTAACGAATTTCCTACTCCTTTTCATCATTGGAATCTGATGAGAATTGTCCTTGTTCTTTGCTGATTTGGAGTCCTAATTCAAACCTTTTTGCTGTGCCTTTTCTCCCTATAAATACATATTTTCTGCCACAATTCAAACCACCACCCTCTACCATTAAATCACCACACCATCCACCACAATTTCGTGCACCACATATACAAGAGCTAAAACATCAGAAAATACATACTTATGCGCAGATTTGCAAGAAAGGAAAGAGAGGAGACCCTTGGAGTCGTGCCCTGCCATTCAAGCTTGGATTGCTGGATGTTTCTAGGTGTATTCTATCCTTTGTTTTAGTTCAATGTTTGTTTTAATTTGGTTTTATCTTTTCACAGACATGAGGAACTAATTTCTTTTTAGTTAGAGGTGAATTCGAAGCCATGATTATATGCTTTATATGAATTGATTACATCCAATTATTGTTTCTTGAGTCTTGAATGTAATTTGCTTATCTGAGTTATTAAAACTTGTTTGTGTATGTTGATTGAGGGTCGACACTTAATTTGCATGCATAAACTTGATGCTAGAGTATAAGGGAGTTTCACCTAATCGTTATGAACTTATATTCACAAGTAGTGGAGGTTGCTAGTCATGATCGTGTTAAGTGAATCCTTGACATGAGTATCATGTTTTTCATAATTACGAATGTCTCGTCAATGCTTATGATTTTCAAAGAACTTAATGACCTTTGATATGTTTTCTATCATGCTTTTCATAGTTAGGAGACTTGATAAGGATAATTTGGTTGTGATGCGTATCCCGTCCAATTCAATGAAATAAGGAAAATCTGATGGTTAATTTGTGCTGTCACGGTTAACTTGAGGTGTTGTCATTCATGGTTTAAAGGAACAATACTGGAAATTGGTTTATATGCATATGTCATGTGTGGAGAATGACCCTCTAACTAGCCATTCACCAATTTAATTCACCAATTTCGTCCAAAGTATTTAGAGTCTTTAATTCTGTTTAGTTTTACTTTAAATTCGTCAAAAACCCAATCCCCTTTACTTTGTTGAGTCAAGTTAGTTAGAATCTGTCCAATTTGTGTTTTTAAGTGTTTTTAAGTATTTTGAGTCAAGTTAAAATCAATTTTCGTCCAATTCACCCTCTAGTGTCTAGTTTAAGTCTATTTGATTGTTTTGTGTTGTTTTGAGTCTTTTTAGTTTGTTTTGAGTTCTTTGAGTCTAGTTAAGTGTTTTTAAGTCTAGTTTTGTATTTTTGAGTCATATTTGTGTAGATTAGCAGCCCTAGTTAATCCTCGGCCTAGAACGATCCCTACTTGTATATACTACAACTATCCTAATAGGGTTTAATTTGTGTGTTAGAATATTTCACATCACCTCTCATCTCGGCCTTCTTCAAAAGCCTTTCCAAGTCCATGTGAGTATGTTTCCAGAGGTACTCTGCAGTGTAGATAGATTCAATTGCTCCGCAAAACCTCATCAGGGACTCAAGAATGGTTGATTTCCCCATCCTCGCTATCTCATCCACTTGGTCTGCATATGCTCCATACGCAAGCATCCGCAACACAATAGTAATTTTTTGCTCGAGAGGAGACCCATAGCACCACAAGCATCCTTTGTTTGCACAAAGTAAGAATCATGGTTGCAAACAGCAATCATGATTTTGTTGAACAAATGTCGTTCTATTCTAAAACGACGTCTGAAGTACGTATCAGGAAATGCATTATTATGGATAAAATAATCGTCCAACAGCTCCACACCTTGTTGTTGCCTACTTCTATCAAGGTTTCCAGAATGGGTGGGCCTGCATATCTGAGCCATAGCTTGGATGACTCGACGGGAATGTGAGTTTCTGACCATTCTTGCTTCATCGTCTCTCCTTCTCCGCTCCTCATCCTTTTCCTTTTCATTTTGGGCTATATGGAGATTGAACATTCCTTCATATAGGTTAAACAATTCTTCCTCTTCTTGATTGATTTCCCACATCATGCTTAAAGAAAAAGACATTGTAAGTAGAAACTATGAATAATGATATAGATTTTGATTTGGTGAAGAAGGAAGTAGAAACTATAAATAATGATAAAGATATTGAGAAAATTGGTGTGAGATTTAAAAGGATGGATGATGGATTATATGGAGGATTCTGAAATGATTAGGTTGTAGATAGTGCCACGTGACATGCCGTTATTCGTTAAAAATCTAATCGAAATCTATCCTAAAAGATTTTGAAAAGAAAACGACACGTGGCATGACGACATTGGATAAAAATCTTATTGAAATCCATCACCAATAATTATCTTTTCGGATAATGACACGTGGCGCAATGAGAACGATTTAAAATCTGATTGAAATCTATCCTCAAAGATTCTGAAAAGATAACGACACGTGGCACGATGACATTGAATAAAAATCTTATCGAAATCTATGACCAATAATAGTCGTTTTGGGTAAATGACACGTTGCACAACGATAACGATTTAAAATATCTTATCCGAAATTACAAATAAATTTATTTAGTATTATTTTGTAAAAAAAAAATTAATAATATTTTATTGCCTATTGCCATGGCTATTCAAGTGCAACGGTGGAGATGCAAAAGATAGTTACTGTTCAAGGGTGGATTGAATAGTGGATTGCCTGGGGGGAGGGCTCCAATGGTGGAGTTGCTCTTATATAAAACACTGGCTCTCGCGACGTTGGACCTGTCTATCAGACATACCCAAATAAGTGATCACCATGGTATGATATCTGCTCTTGGGAGTACGTATAAGTAAACACTATCGTGCGTTATGCCTGAGTTGAATCATTTCGGAATGAGTAATGTTATTCATACCATATTTTTATACCACATTTCTATTCCACCTTAGGTGGCATCTGATGTGAACAGCCACATTATTTGAAAAATTTGCAAAACCCAAGGAAATGAAGGAGAAAGACAAATATACCACAATCATCATTTAATTAATTAGTTTTTCTTAATTATTAGTTTATTAAATAATGAACTAAATTTAAAAATTTGATTAATTCAAATGATGTGGTTGTCCGCATCAATTGCCACTGAAAATGTGGTACAAAAACATGGTATGAATAACATTACTTTTTCAAAATTTGCTTTTCCAGATGAAAGGGACATATCTGTATTTTCGACCGAGAAGGTCTCTCTTGAGTTACAAATAGATGACGTAGAAATCCAACATTCTTCTGGTGCTCACTTTTAGTCCTTACCAAATATCAGTGCAGCCTTTGTTTCGTGGTTCATTTTAGTGGCTTGACCTACATAGAACTAGATCACATGGTAATGTGGTGTGTACAAATTCTCTGTACAAGACTTATGTCCTTACCAAATACGATTTTGCACCGATAATGTTGTTAGTGATGATATTCGCACATTATCGAGTTAATATAAGCGGCTATTTTAAGACCCTTGTTCAAAGGGCGTATGTTTAGACAATATGTTTCTCACACCTATGAGATGAAAATTCTATTGGGCTAGGGATCTGATGTCCCCAAACTTGTGTCTCTATCAGTGTCTCTTTTATAATTTTTCGACATGTGTCGTTTAGTTTAAGTCCAAGTTAACACTGTCAAAGTTTCATTAGATTAAATAAATTAAAATAAAAAATTAAAGAAAATAAAACCAAAAAGGATTGGAAGTGTAAGGGACGGGAGATCTGGGGGCAGAGAGGGGTTGGGGGACAGGGGCGATAATGATAGCCTGTTGAGAGTTAGGGTTTGGAGGGAGGTTGATGGCGGGAGCACGGATTTGGCGAGAGCACGGATTGTGCGGTAGTTTGGGCGACGGGAGATGTCGGCGAAGGAGGGGGGAGCGGCCATAGGGGTTGGATTTGCAGTAGTAATGAAAATGGCGATGGCGGTGGTGCTCCAATTTTCAGGAAGTGGGTTGGGTCTCCATTTTCGGAGGAAGTGGAGGGAGAAAAAGAATGGAATTCAAACTGGGAGACAGACTGTTTCTATCATGACTATTTGAAAAGAGAGAAAAATGACGAGGAGAGAGAGAAGGATGTTCCGATAACAAATTACTGTGTGTTGGGGAGGGTGTGGCGGTCGGATTGGTGTTGGTGGGGAGTTTGAGTGACTGTTGGTTTTATTTTCTTTAACATTTAGTTTTAATTTATTTAATCTTGAAACTTTGACAGTGTGAATTTAGAGTTAAACTAAAAGACACTTGTTAAAAAATTGTAACAAGACACGGATAGAGACACAAGTTTGGGGACAGATCCCTGGCCATTCCCATGTATGACATTCAACCGTTAATTAATCTTGATTTTTCTCTTAACTCACGTCCTTGTCTCATGGTCTGAAGTCCGAATCAGCAGATTGTGATTTTTTTTTCAACGGTGGCTCACTAGTGGCCGGCACTGTCACCACCCAACAAAACCTAACCAATGAGATCTTGCAAGTCACAAATTACAATGCATCTCGCACACAATTTTCCCACCGAAATTACCGTTGGAACTCTCTAGCTCTATCCAGGCACAGACAAACGGGAACTCATTTCAAACTTGCACGCAAACCTCTCTCTCTCTACTTTTTAGCAGAAAATCAGAGAACTGAAGCGTGAGAAACAAACCCACTAAATCTCTGAAGACACCCCCTACGGTCTTCACACTATCATGGCATTTTCTCTATCTTCCTTTGCATCTCCTACAATCTTCACACTATCATCGCCGCCATCGCCACCCGCCAGATCTCTCAAGACACCCTCTTTCTTGATCTCCACCAAAAACCCAAATCGTAACTTACCAGGCAGAGCGAAAAATCTACCTCCTCTGAGAGTAGCTGCGCCTGCATCGCCGCCGCCACAAACCGCTGACCCAGAAGGACAGAGGGAACCGGACGGCGAAGATTACGGAGCTGAGGACGAGATTGAAGACGCGACATCGACGAGCAAGTTCAATTGGAGGGATCATTGGTACCCAGTTTCTTTGATTGAAGATTTGGACCCTCGGTTGCCGACCCCATTTCAGCTTCTGGGTCGAGACCTTGCTATCTGGTACGATGGTGAATCGTGGGTCGCTTTCGATGACAGATGCCCTCATCGCCTCGCCCCCTTATCTGTAAGCTTCTTGGTTGTGTTTGGTTGCTGAGATTTTGGAGGAAAAACCCTCCAATCTCATGATTGGTCTTTGGGATTGCTGTTGAAGAAGAAATTTTTTTAATTATGACGGAAAATGTTACACCACGTGTTTTTATGTAAATGGTAAAAAAATTTATTTTTTTTAGTTATTAACTTTTTAACCCACATTCCACCATTTATATAACATCGTGTTTTTATGTAAATGTTGAAAATTGTTATTTTTCTAAGTTATTAACTTTTAACACACATTTCAGCATTTATATAATAATGATATTACCTCGTGTGCCGGTTACACTGAAAAATCTCTCGTAGAAGAAGGCAATAAAATGCTCCAAGTTGGAGTGTTTGTTTGGCTGAAAAGTCTCACTGCCCTAGACTAGACTAATAATTAGTCTAAACCAGTGTTTGTTACTCGGAAGGACTGGTTTTAATGGGATTAAATTTCACTCGCTCCGACTAGCCTCGCTAAAAGTTCTTAGCGAGACCCCCCGAATTCCTGATGAGTGCTAAGACCTTCCTCCTTCTCGCCTAATCCGGCGTCACCCACCACCTCCCGCCAGTCCTCGTCCTCGTCCTGCTCGACGACCTTGCCGGACCATCCCACTGGCCGCCGTCGCGTCCTCGTAAGTCTCCGGCCACTTTCCTCTTCCAATTCCTCTTCTTCCTTGTCTACTTGTTAGAGGCGCCGCCGCTTCTCTCAACCTCTCAAAACTCTCGAACTCTGAAATCTTCGTCGCCCCTTACCTCACACTCACTCTGTTGTTGTAAAGTAAGTTCTCATAAATCTCTATCTCTCTCTTTCTCTCTCTGTGTTGTTTCTCTGCTAATTGGGATTTTGTATTTTGTTTTGATTTTTTTTTTTTGCACTTTATTTGCATTGTTTTTCGTTACAAGTTCAGATTTTTTTTGTCATTTGTTTGAATTAAAATTGTACCATTTCTTATCATAAATTTGCTTAAGCAGCTCAAATAGTCATTAGTATAATTAATTAAATTTATTAGAAATTATGATGTTCTTTGTTGCAGAGCATATATTCATTTGTATGTCGTTAAATTTGCCAGAGGAAAAAGAAAGTAACAATTTTTCGTTAAATGGGATAAGGCGGGGGTGGGGCGGAAACCATGCGGTTATGGGAGGGTTTGGGCGGAAACGCCAATTACAGCGTCGGGCACGGTTATTTTCTGAAATTATGTAAATTGTTTTGTTCTTCTTGGTTTAGTAACAAGTAACAACTGCCCTACAATGGTGTCATACTTGTTTCATATTGAGAATGTTGAGTTTAGTTCTCAACGACTCGAATCAGTGGCAATGAGTATATATGTGAGTATGAGTTTTTCTACATTTATATTTTGTATAGGGAATTGCTATAGATTGTTCTCTTTATTCTTTTAACAATTTGTAAATTTCTTTGTTCTCTCCATAAATGGGGGTAAGGCTAGCCGACATTCACCTCTCCCAGACCCTGCGTAAAGCGGGAGCCTTGTGCACTGGGTACGACAAACAAATCATCTTACAGGTTTAGGTTTGACTAGTTCAGATATCTAGATTGTTCTCTTTACTTTAATAATTAGAAACAGGAAGTGATTACTTCAGATATGGACATTTGCTTCTTGATTCATAGTTCTTGTATGTGACAGTACTATTTTCATTATCCTGCTTCTTAGTCCAACACTGCATCAAACACTTCACTAAGCTAGTCCAACTTAGTCTAGTCTAAGCCAGTCCAGTTTAGTCCTTGAAGCTAGTCCAGTCCGAGACAGTCCAGTGCAACAAACACATTAGTGGCTGAACTCTTACTCGTGTTTCAATTTGGTCATTGCATTAAATGATTAGGTTTACTAAAATTGGTACCATTGGGTTTAGGCATTGCCCGTGATCAAATAAGCTTCATGAAACGTAGCATCCAATTGCGTTTAAAGTTTCGGATGATTAAGTGAGGAATAGGGTTCATGGTTTTCAATTGAGTTATTTTGATTTTGCAGGAAGGACGGATTGATGAAGGCGGAAACTTGCAGTGTTCATACCATGGATGGTCATTTGATGGGTGTGGATCATGTGTTAAGATTCCTCAAGCTTCATCTGAAGGCCCTGAATCTCGTGCTGTTCGGTCTCCAAGAGCATGCGCTACGAGGTTTCCTACGCTGGTGTCTCAAGGCCTGCTCTTTGTTTGGCCGGATGAGAATGGTTGGGAAAGAGCTAATGCCACCAAGCCTACCATGTAATTGATTCATGTTATATCGCTTTTGTGAATCTTTAATTTATAAATATAGTGATTAGGATTGTTGTCGTTAATTTACAAATATAGTGATTAGGATTGTTGTCTTTAATTTATAAATATAGTGATTAGGATTGTTGAATACTGTGTTTGAAGTGTTTTTTTAACTGTTTAATATGGGTAGTTGTTAATTGTTATGTTCCGAATAATTTAATGATCTTTTGATGATGGTAATTGTTTAATGTTTAGGCTACCTGATGAATTTAGTAAACCTGAGTTTTCGTCAGTGACAATCCAGCGTGATCTGTTCTATGGCTATGATACCCTCATGGAAAATGTCTCTGATCCTTCCCACATTGACTTCGCTCATCACAAGGTATACAACTGGATCTAAACCTGGAGTCTCTTTCATTTTTTGGTATTCAAGCAAATCTCTTGGTACGTTCTTTGAGTAGTTAAAGGCATGCAGTTAGAATCGTAATGGTGAATGCTAGTAAAATGAGCATATTCTAAGAGGACAAATGTTCTGAAGTTTCTTATACGCATTTGTGCCTGTTCTATGTTTTATGAACTTTTGCTGCATATCAGTCTGAGGCTCTTTGCATGCATTTTTTTCCTTCGAAACTTGGAAATTTAAGTACACTTTCTGATAGATGGAAATTTCCATTTTGCTTAATGGTGAAATCACTTATCAGGTCACCGGAAGGAGAGATAGAGCCAAACCTTTGCCATTTAAACTCGAGGATAGTGGTCCTTGGGGTTTTTCTGGAGCAAATGAAGGCAACCCACGGATTACTGCTGAGTTTATAGCACCTTGCTATTATTTGAATAAGTAAGTTCATCATCCTCGTAGAAGCAGTAAATGATACAACATTGTAGATATGAATTATGTTTGTTCTGGACTTACATGTCATCAACTCCTTGATTTCTTCATATGTAATTGATGTAGGGCTACAACATTAGTAAAGTCTAATGTTTGTCGGCTAGGAATCTTGAGCTGTTTCTTAGTTTGGTTTTGTAAGAATACTTCCAAACCAAAATCGAACTGAGAAACTTCCAAGAAAATGTGACGCTTAAACATCAATCTTCCTCATTGAAGAAATATTTGTCAGTTCTACAAAATTTACAAAGGATTGTCATATCGTTTGAGAGCAATATGGCATGTCCTAGAGGCATTCTCTAGTCCTTTATTTGTAGAACATACATAACCATGAAAACTCCATCCATAATATATTTTATCTGGTCTTATTGTAATTAATTACTTGCTTCTAAAACTAAACATACTTGGTTTCCTTTTCTTGTACCCAGAATAGAGATTGACACAAAGCTTCCAGTAGTTGGAGATCAAAAATGGGTTATATGGATTTGCTCCTTCAACGTTCCAATGGCACCAGGGAAGACTCGCTCTATTGTATGTAGTGCTCGAAACTTCTTCCAGTTTAGCATGCCAGGGCCCGCTTGGTGGCAGGTAAGAAATTTGTGGTTGTCTTATTTCGTACTTTGTACTTCATAACAACATCTTAGGTGAACCAGCACATCTTGTCCAGCAAGTTGATCCTTATTGGTGGAAATTGAAATCTCTCATGTTTAAGTAAATTTCTTTTTCTCATTATAAGTTGGGTTCGGACAATATTTCCAAATGCTGAGAGGATATGTGAAGTTTCTCCTTCGGGCACTTGGTGTTTAGCTTTTCTGATTGACAAACACTGATTCCATGAAATAAGTTGTGTGATTAGTTATAAAACCATAGAAGAAGGGTTTAAAGTTATAAAACCATAGAAGAAGGGTTTAAAGTTATAAAACCATAGAAGAAGGGTTTAACTTTTCTTATTGGCGAACACCAATCCCAGCATCGGATGCCATATAAGCTAAGAAACAATATCACTTTTGAATGAGCTTCCAAAGACTCTTAACTTTGATTTGTGTGAAATATATTGATCTTGCTTGCTTTCATTCTTTGCTTCTACTGATTTTTTAGCTTAATAACACTGAACCAATCTGAAACACAACGTTCATAAGAGGCTTAAAGTTCATGTTTGTCTTTTATTTTTTTCCTTCTTCAAAGTTTATATCCTTACAACCTTGGTTTTCCATAATTTTTCATCATGTAATTGTTTCAGGTGGTTCCTAGATGGCAAGAGCATTGGACTTCAAATAAGGTTTATGACGGAGACATGATTGTCCTTCAGGGCCAAGAGAAGGTCTTTCATGCCAAATCCAAGGATGAATCTGGTGATGTTAATCAGCAGTACACAAAAATCACATTTACTCCGACACAAGCAGATCGTCTTGTCTTGGCATTTCGAAACTGGCTGAGGCGGCATGGCAACAGCCAACCCGAGTGGTTTGGTACTTGTGACCAACAACCCTTACCGTCAATGGTTTTATCAAAACGTCAGGTGAGGAGCCTTTCTCCCACTCAGAGAAAATAAACACATAAGCAGTTCATTCATTTCTCGCAATGAAAACTAGATTATGGTTTCCGGGTTTCTATTTTCAATTTGCTATGCAGATGCTGGATAGATTCGAGCAGCACACCCTCAAATGCTCCTCGTGTAAGAAAGCTTATACAGCATTCCAGACATGGCAGAAGCTGCTAGTAGGGGCAACCGTTGTTTTCTGTGCATCAACCGGGATTCCTTCGGATCTGCAGCTACGGATCATTTTGGCAGGTTTTGCGCTTCTGAGTGCTGGCTTGGCTTACGCTTTGCATGAACTCGAAAAGAATTTCGTGTTTGTAGATTATGTACATGCTGACATTAATTAGAGTTGCGGATTATGATCGACGGGCTGGCACCAAGCGCCTAAGCTGCCTCGGTGGATTTAAGTAATTTTATTATACATCATATAAATTAATTCAATTTACTACATAATATGTAAATAAACATTGAATATGTTAGTATTTTTAAAAGAAAAATATGGGTAAGAAAATATGTATAATTTTAGACACTTTGTATAATTTTCTAAGCCAATAAATTGTTTTGGGCCTTTTTCATTAATAAAATGCAAGGTTGGGCCTTGTAGTCTTTGTTTCACCTTTGAATATAATTGTCCAGTCCATTATAGATTGGGCGCAATGGAAGCCAACCAAAACCCAAAGCCATCTAATCCATTTATTATCCTATATTTTCTATTAGAATAAAAGAATACACCAAGATACTTGTACAGACTCCCCATTCTCGATCGGACTTGGATTGTCTGCCCTCTCATTTCGGTGCCCTTCCCGTGCCTTCCTGTTTTGTGGTCACGGTTAAGCCACGTCAATATTTTATGTTGTTTTTTTATAAAAATAATAAAAGAAATAGTAATATAAAATGTTGACGTGGCTTAACTGTGACCACACAAACAGGAGGGCACGGAGAGGGCACCGAAATAGAAGGGCAGACAATCCAAGTCTTTCTCGATCACTGACTCACCTTTTTCACAATAAAACCCTAAACTGCTCGATACAAAAACCATTGACGCCGTCAACCATATCACATCTGCAATTGCACATCCATACTCTCTCGCTCGTCTTGTAAACCATTGTCACACCAAGGGGGAGACGGCGAGACTCAAGGAGAGAAGACGGCAATGCGCAAAGCACCCAGATTGGCCAACGTCCGCAATTGTAGCAATAGTTTTTTTAATTACCAAGTAGAGTAAATCGTAGCTATATGTGCCACTATAGCCACGGCCCTCTATTTTACCACATTTTTAGTTAATTTTGTTTGTGTTTCACGCTCCTCTCTACCCTCCCCCACGGCCCTCTCACTGCTCATCAGTGTTTAAGTATCCAAAACCATTTCAATTTTTGCAACTCATAATCTTGTGTTAATATTCCTAATTATTTATACAATAATCAAAATTAAATGCAAAACAAATGCAAGAAATTAAGCCAAATAAAAATAACATTTCCAGAAGTCAGCAAAACATAAATCCTTCCGTTGTATCCAGAAATCATCAAGCAGATGGTCCCAATTGGATTCCAACAAAAGCAAATTTCAAAATACCATAAAACCCTAAGCATCCGTACCCTTCGAGACCCCAGCCCCAAATTCAAACTTTACACCTAAAAACCCTAATTCCATCGCCATCCCCAAATACCCATTTCCCAAATTACAACACCAAATCCTTAAGAGCTAGTAAACTTGGTCACCGACTTAGTCCCCTCAGAGACAGCGTGCTTGGCGAGCTCACCGGGGAGCACCAACCTCACCGCCGTCTGAATCTCCCGGGAAGTGATCGTTGGCTTCTTGTTGTACCTCGCGAGCCGCGACGACTCCTGAGCGAGCTTCTCAAAGATGTCGTTGATGAAGCTGTTCATGATCCCCATGGCCTTGCTGGAGATTCCGATGTCTGGGTGGACCTGTTTCAGGACCTTGAAGATGTAGATCTTGTAGGTCTCCACGCTCTTCTTCGATCTCTTCTTCTTCTTCTCGCCGGCGGCCTCCTTGGGGAGATTCTTCTCGGCACGGGGCTTTTTCTCAGCGGGGGCCTTCTCAGCCTTCTTCTCCTCCGCGGGCTTCTTCTCAGCCGGCTTCTTCTCTGCCTTGGGAGCCATTGGTGTCAGAGTTTCTGAAAAACTAGGGTTTGCAGAAAAGGAGGGAAATGCAGAGCTATCTGAGACGAAGGTTGTGAGTGAATGAGATGGGTTGGATTTGGGATTCTGTATATATAGGGGAAGGTGATGAGATTTGATTGGTTGCGATGGTGCCGCACGGATCAGTGACGTGGAGCGGTTGGATGTTCGGGGATAGAATAGACGGTGGAGATCGGGTTTTGTTTGAGCGGTAGAATTTGTTTAGAATTATTTTTAAATTGGGATTTTTGGGTTTGGCGGGATTGGGGCTTTTAAGGCGCGCTTTGGTGAAAATAATTTGTATTCTTATCGAATCTGGAACTGGGTCCCTCCATTCAAGAAAGCACAATTCAAGATTCAATCTAGGACCCTTCCATCAAAGTTTTAATAAAACTTTCTTAATATTGTTCACTTTTAAATGAAAATAATATTTTTATTTTAAAAAGTTATTTATGATATTATTTACTAATAACGTATTTTTATCTTCTTAATTAAAACTTAAATTTTTCAAGCTTTTTTCATCAATTTTCCTTTGAATCTATACCCAAAACACATTGCGTATTTCATTTCATTTTATTGATCTAGGTTAAAATTTTGAACTCTTGTTGAATTTAGTCCAGTTTTTCTATTTTGCAAGTTTAATTAAAAAAATTATTTATAAACCTTTGTGAAAATTTTTAATTAGAATATTTAAATAAGATAAATTACACAAAACTACTTCAATCGAACCACAATTTCATACCTTATATTTCAAACATTGCAATATCATACATCAACTTATGAATTCATTGCAATGTCAGACATTCGTTAAATTTTTTGTTAATTTGACTGTTAACTGCTAACGTGACAAACAGTGTACCCACTCACTCGTCCAACTGGATTGATAAATTAATAAAATATTAAAAGTTCATGATTTATTGAAAAAAAAAAAAAAAAACTTTTTTGTAGTAGAAAATTAAAATAATGAAGAGGTCCCACCACTAAGCTTAGCAATTCCTTCCCCATCACCCCCGTGCATTCATTCTCCTTGACGCCATCCTCACCTGCAACCTCATAACCTAAAAAAAAAAAAAAACCGAGTCAGGTCCTCTGCAACCAAGGATTCAAAATCTCCCCCATCCAATCCCTCCCGCCGCCAGAGCTTCAAATCAACCCCTGCAACTCAACCACGAAGCCCAGCCACCGACGATGTCTCTCTCTTCGCTCTTCCCCTCCAGAAATGTCGTCTTCATCAATCTCGTCGCCATTTCTCAACAGCAACCATCACGAAGCCCCATGCTTCAGCCAGACCCAAGTTTCGGTGAACGTCGGTCCTCTTCACGACCGGCTCCTGCAATCCGTGCCCCAGACCTGCGGCACCCCACCTCTCGGCAGCAGCGATAGCTGCAGATCTGCACCTGCAGATATAGACCAAATTCTTGCACAACCCACGCAAATCAAGAAGCACGAAACCTTCAATATCTTTAGAGCAATTCCAGCATGGTGGAAGACTCCTAGGGCTATCCACTATGCTATCCTCCAGTGAACAATAATTGCTCTTAATGAACAGTTACCGTGTTTTGCATCTTCACCCCTTGAATAGTACTGGCAATTGGTAATAAAATATTTTTTTTTTATATGAAAAGCCCCAAAATATTGCAATCCAGAACAAATCCTACAAATTTCAACTATAACTAGTAAGATTTAAATTGAAAAAACTAAAAAACTCTACCCAAGATCGAAAAACCCACAATGGTTTAACAAAGATTTAGAGAAAATAACCAAAAACCCACATACCTTTTTGGTCTCAAATTCATCGAAACAGGTCGAATCACCGGATTGAATCTCTGCCGGAAAAATCAGAGAAGCATAAAGCAAATGGCAGAGCAAGCAGCAGTTAAAATCCAGAGCTTCGACGGAGCCCTAAACACCACCAAATCAAAGCTAGCCGACATAAAATCTCTCCACGTAGCCTCCTCTTTCGCTCTCCTCCGTTCCTCAGAAAAAGAAAAAAAAACCCAAATCCAAAACCTTATGTAAAACTCTGTGAGAAAAGATAGAGAGAGCCAAAGCAAAAGAATGACGACATCCCAACACCACATTAGCCCACATCAGACTGCCTTCAGGCGCTCGGGCTGGCATGAATCCACGGGCCTTTCCCTCGGGCCTACTTGAGCTCGCTCGCCAGCACACGCTGGGCTTCATCACTTGGGCATTCAAGCCATGTTCCTCAGCCTATCCCTCGGGTTGGAGCTGCTCTTAGTCACCACGCCTATTGCCACTGCAGACCAGACCCCAGCACCTAGGGTTGGACATTTTAAAAATAAATAATACAAAAGCCGACCGAACCGCCCGAACAGCACCGGCGACTTGGTTTAGTTTGGTTTTGTTTTGTTTTTTGTTTTTTAATTTTCGGTGGTTAAACCAAACAGCACTGACCTTAATCAGTTTTCAAAATTTTTAGGGTACGGTTAACCGAACCAACCCACATATATCTAATTTTATTTTTTAATTATAATTAATACGTGTAATATTTTAAATGATTAGTTATTTACAAGTTACTGTGTTTCCACCACATGAAAACAAAACCTGTTTAGTTTAAGAGCAGTTCCACCACCGGGGACCTGATAGGCCAGCACCCAGGCTTTCCATTCCAACCCAGCAGATAGGTTGGCACCCAGCCCAAGCTGGTCTCCAGGCCAACCCAAAATCGACATAGGCATGGATAAGCCCATATGACGCCAGCGTGGCGTCAGAGGGAAGTTCAATTTTTTTTTTTTGCCCCAAGCACATGCGACTAGGCGCGAGTAGCCAATAAGGAATCAGAAGAGGGCCCGCATACGCAGGCTCACTCAGCCATCAGATAGGGAGGCCACGTGGCCCAGCCTGGGCTGTTGGATTTCCAGTGGTAAAAAAAAATTGAATTTGAATTTTGATCTGGACCATCCGATCACAGATCAACAGTCTACATTTTCCCCCCAAAAATTATAAAAAAATAAAAAAAAAGGCACAACAATCAAAATTATGACCGTTGGCCAAGTGGCACCTTATAGGTTGTTGGATTTGAATATTTTTCAAATCCAACGGTCCAGATTAATTAACTAAATTAGAATTTATTAAAAATTATGAATTTTTTTTAAATAAAGAAAATTTTTAAAGTTTTTTTTTTTTGTTCTATAAATACCTAACCTTCATCTTCCACCTTACACTGCATTTCAATATTTTCTACACTTTCTACATTTCAATATTTTCTACACTTTGAGAGAAAAAAATGACTTCATGGAAGGTCATTAAAGATGTTACGTTGTGTGAATGTTGGGTTCACACTACTTATGACCCGATTACGGGTGATGAGATGGATAAGCGAGAAATGTGGAGTAAAATTACGAAAGCGTTTTGCAATGTAAATGGAAAAGACGCCAGAAGTAGTCAAGGTCTTCAAGGTCGTTGG